GGTTGGATGGCAAGCATGTAGTCTTTGGCAAGGTGAAAGAAGGCATGAACATTGTGGAAGCCATGGAGCGCTTCGGGTCCAGGAATGGCAAGACCAGCAAGAAGATCACCATTGCTGACTGTGGACAACTCTAATTAAGATCTGTATTTCATGTTTTCTCTTAATCACTACATCATTCCTTCTATAGCTCCAGAAATCACCTTGCGACCCCCAGTGTGCTTGCAGTACCTTTTAATCTTTGTGCTCTTGCTACAGTTCTTTGGGTTCCATGCTTTATTTCTCTACAAGCTTAGCAGGATGCAGACAAATTTATGACTGAAATAAAAACTAGATAACACTATTGTCTGTTCTTATTTGGGTTAAAATGTTGGTACTGGTCTTTGGGCATAACATCCATACTATCTTGAATATTGAAGTACTTAATATGCTTACTAAATTCCATAGTAATTTCCTCCCTTTCTGACTTAGTATGATGAGAAGAGTTAATGTCACTGTATATATTCCTATACTGTATTTTGAGTATAATACTGATAAAGGCTGTAACTTTGAGAATGTATAGTTGGAAAATTGTCAGTTCATTTAACAATGTCTTAAAAATTTTAAAAGCTTGCTTTTGGGGAGGTGTAGTGTGTTTCTGCTGTTGGGCTGTGGGGAATCAGTAACCCACATTCCTGAACTATAGCTGTTTTCAATGTCAGAATGTACCTCACACAAATTGATCCTAAATAAAGTCTTCAGGACTAAAACACATTCCTACTGATTTGTAGGGCTCCCTGTAGAAGACATCTGGCTTTTCTTAAAAACCCAGATTAATGGAGAATTAAACCCTTTACTATAACAGTTTCATGTGAGTTCAGTTAAGCACATTGTGGCAAGTGGATAAGTCTTGATTTTCTTTTCTCAGCGTGATTTTGATCTTCAGAAAAAGATTGTAAGGGGTTTTTCCCCTATGAAATTGTAGGATGAATTTTAACCAACATTTGTTCACAATCAAGCCCTTGATTATAATTACCAGGGTTCCTTCCAACTTCAATCTGACATTCTTGAGTTTTTCAAAGGCACATACTAATGTGAACTTGACAGCCCAAGTATTGGAGTCTTGGCTCAGGCAGACCTTGGTTCAAAGTGTCATCCTTGATTGCTTAATATAAAAGAAAATATGCTCATTAGCATATGTTTAATAATTAAAATATAGGCTTTTAAAAGGTAGCAAAACATTTATAATGGGTTTTTTCTTTTAAATGGCAAGAATTTTTAATCCAGTTAATTTAAGCATCAAAGATTTGTTAATTTTGTTTAAAAGTACCTAAACAAGTGGATTCTACAATAGATTATAATAATAGCACAATGTACAGAAAACATTCTGGACCTGAATGAAATTTTTGTTCTAAAATAAAATTCCCTTGAAGGAATTGTCAGGGTTTATGGCTTTCACACAAATTAGTGAATTTTTTTTACACATTTATGGTAAATACTGTCTGTTGGGTTTGGGTTTTCTTAATTCAACACCACTATCTATCATTTACAGCAAGTAGTTTTTTGATATTCTGGTACTTTGGGGCCAATGATAGTAAAGCTGTTTATAAAAAGCTTAAAGACCAAAGTCCAGAATAAGAGCTGTATAGTTGGGTGGGGGTGGGGGGTGAGGAATTGTATAGCAATTTTTTTTCAAAGAAAAGTAAATGAGTGGGCAGGGAGGAAAAGGTGCAACTGCAACAATGGAAATCCATGTTCTCAATAGCCTTTACAGAAATCTAAAAATTTTACATGTTGTCAAGGCAACCAAATCAATGGGACAGCAACAGGTTTTCAGAAACTAAATCACATAGACCATCTTTCTCCTGTGTAGCAATGGATGAATTAAAGCCATAAGCCTTTGGGTTGGCAGTGCAGCTCCACCCAGATCCCTAATGAATGGGTGATACAGGCAGCAGAAATGACCATGATACTACTTCCATTAATACTAATTTGCAGTACTTTAATTCTGATGTGTGTTTTTGTAAGTCTCTTAAGTGAGCAGCCACAGTAAATGCTATTTCCCCCCCTTGAATATTAAATCTTGTTGCTTCCTGCATCATTGAAGATTTTGCCCATAGAATTTTTTTTAATTGAGATTTTATTGAATGTTTATAAATTGGATTTCCATTCATTCATGGTTGCACATATTCCTCCCTAACCCTCCGCTAGTTTGATTTTTGCTTTAAAAAGATAAATTGTTGCATAATTTCCTCCCTGCCCACCCCACACCCCTAGTTAGTTTTTCTCTTTGAAAAGTAAAAAAAAAAAAAACCCAAAACAAAACCCCCCCCCCCCATGTTATATAATATCCCTTCCCAGTCCATGTGACTGCAGTTTTCATTCTGGATTGTCATGACAATAATACCTAATCATAAATTCCTCCTAAACAGTGCTCTAATCTGTGTCAATGGAGTATACGTTATTTATCCCATCTTCGTTTCACCCCCAACTCCAATGTCAGTCCCACTTTACAACAGTGACACTATGCAGTATTTGTCCTTTTGTGACTGAGATACTTGTGCTTGGGTATAAAATTTAGATATAAGTCCCTTCTCTGGCATGTCGTTACTAAGTATTCCCCCCCCCCCCCAGTCTGTGGCTTCCCTTTATACCCTGTTGGAGAAGTTTATGGATGTGCATAGGGATTTGATTCTTAGAAGGTCCCATTCATCTCTTTTATCTTTTCCTGCTTGTAGATTTTTCATGATGCTTGGAAGACTGTTTATGTTGTCGATTAGGACTTCTAGAGTTCTTACAAGTTTTTCTTTAGTGAAGTGTATAGTCCTTAGTTTTAGTTCTAGGTTCATGATCCACTTTGAGTTTTTGTGTGAGGTGTGGATCATGCTTGAGTTTTCTACAGAAAAGTTCCAGTTTTGCCAGCACCATTTGTTATAAAGGCTGTCATTTCCCCATTTAACTGATTTTATCTCCTTGTCAAAAATCAGTTGAACATAGGTAGATGGGCTGATTTCTGGATTTGCAATTCCATTGATCTATGTGTCATTGTACCAGTACCAAGCTGTCTTGACCACCACAGCAGTGTAGTAGGATTTGAAACCAGGGAGTGATTGTTTCTCTTTTTAAGGAATGCTTTGCTTATTCAGGGCTTCTTTCCATTCCAAATGAAATTGGAGATTGCCTTTTCCATGTCGTTGAAGAGTGGAATTAGTATTTGTATTGGGATTGCATTAAATGTGTAGGTTGCCTTTGGTAGATTTGTAATTTTCACAATATTGAGTCTTCCTATCCATGAGCAAGGGATATTCTTCCACTTCTCCAGGTCTCTTTTTGTTTCTTGTAGTAATGTTTGGTAGTTTTCTTTGAATAGATCCTTTGTGTTTCTGGTTAAATTTATTCCCAAGTATTTAATCTTGTGTGTAACTATTGTGAAGGGTGTTGTTTAATTTTACCTCCTCGCCAATTTGGATATCTCATTCCTTTCCCTTCCATTATTGCTATTGCTAAGACTTGCAATACAATATTAAATAGGAGAGGTGATAGTGGGCATCCTTGCCTAGTTCGTGTTCTCAAGGGTAATACTTTTAATCTCTCTCCATTGAGAACAATGTTGGCTCTCAGGTTTGCATATATACTTTTTACTACGTTGAAGGAATTCCCCTCTAATCCTCTTATTGAGTGTTTTCATCAGAAAAGGGTGTTAGATTGTTCAAAGACACCCCCCCCCTTTTTGCATTAATTGATAGGGTCATATGGTTCTTGTACTTTTCTTTGTTTATATGATGAATTACATTTATTTTTTTATTTCTTATGTTGAACCGTCCTTGCATACCTGTTATGAACCCCACTTGGTCATGGTGAATTATTTTTTTTATGTATTGTTGGATTCTGTTGGCCGGGATTTTATTCAGGATTTTTGTATCTTTGTCATAAGAGTTACTGGCCAGTAGTTTTCTATTTTTGTGGTGTCTTTCCAGGCTTTTGTATCAAGGATATGTTTGCTTCCTAGAATGAGTCTGGGAGAATTCCGTCTTTTTCTATTTTCTGAAATAGTTTATGTAGAATTGGTGACAGTTCTTCTCTGGAAGTTTGATAACATTCACTTGGAAAACCATCTGGTCCAGGGCTTTTTTTTTTTTTGTCTAGAAGTTTTATTACCTTTTCAATGTCTTCTTTTGTAATGGGTCTGTTCAAGTATTCAATTTTGGTTGGTGTCAGGTAGGTTGCGAACTCCTAAGTATTTGTCCACTTCCTCTAGGTTTTCATATTTGTTTTAGTTTTTCATAATGTTCCAGTGTTAGCCTTTTAAATTTAGTTGGTGCTGTTGTGACATTTCCCATCTCGTCGTTTAAATCAGATTATTTGTGTCTTTTTTCTTTTGCTAGTTTTGCTCATGGCTTATTGATTTTATTGACCTTTTCAAAGAATCAACAAGTTTTGTTGATGGTTTCAATTGTTTTTCGGTTTTCTATTTCATTTATTTCTGTTCTAATTTTTATAATTTGAAATTTTTTAGAGGGTGTCTGGTTTCTTGCTTTTTTTCCCCACTTAACCCTAACCCTAACCCTTACCTTAACCCTAACTTTATCCCTAGTCCTAGCCCAAGCCCTAAACGTAACCCTAACCCTCAACCTACCCATAACCGTAACCCTAGCAATAACCCTATAACTAGACCTAGCTCTAGCCCTTGATATGTCCCTATCCCAAACATATCCCTAACCCTCTAACCCTAAACTGAGGCCTAGCCATAGCCCTAGCCCTAGTCCTTACTTTGACCCTAACACTAACTCTAAACCTAAAACTAACCCTAGCAATAGCCCTAGTCCTAGCTTTAGCCCTAGCCCTAACACTAACCCTCAATCGTACACAAAACCTGACTGACTGTAACCCTCACCTTCTAACCCTAACCCAAACCCTAGATCTAGCCCAAGCCCTAAACCTAACCCTAACTGTAGCCATAACCCTAACCCTAACTGTGAACCTAATTCTAACCCTAACCCTCTAACCCTAACCCCAACCCTTTAACCCTAACTCTAACCCTAATCCTAACCCTAGCCCTGGCTCTAAACCTAAAACTAACACTAAGCTTAACCCTAAACCAAACCCTAACCCTACCCTAATGTAAACCCTAGGGCTAGGGTTAGGGTTAGGGTTAGGGTTTAGGCCAAGGTTAAAGCAAGGTTTAGGGCTAGGGTTAAAGCAAGGTTTCGGGCTTGATTTAGGACTAGGGCTAGAGTTAGGGTTATAGCTAGGGCTAGGGTTAGGGTTAGGTCTAGGTTTAGGGCTAGGGCTACGGCTAGGTTTAGGATTAGGGCTAGGTTTAGGCCTGAGGTTAAATC